GGCCGGGCCGAGCCGGGCCGAGCCGAACCCAGCCCTCGAGTTCCGCTCTTGCATCGGGAGGAGGAGCCGGTGCGTGTGATGGTAAATCACCTCCGGCTGGTCGTTAGGCTCACTACTTAGTCGCGGGCTTATCACCGCCAGTTGGGATTTTGACACTTCACCTCTCAGGGCGGCCTCTGTAGCTGCTTTTGTTGGAAAACCGGCCCCCTGAGACTGGAATGAGCTGGTTAAGTATGGGAAGAACAGGGTACTAATTATATTATCTTTCCTACCACCGGATTGGTAGGTGGAGAGAGAGAAAAAAAATCCTGCTGACGTTTCCCTCTAGTTGTTGCTATTGAAAATGCCAGGTTGCTTCAAAGGATTAACCACAAGGAAGAGGAAAAACACCCTTAGAAAAACAGTGGAGGGAGCCGCTCGAAGCACATGAAAAAACCTGTTCGCCACGGCACAGAAAGTGTCATGCCAGACTTAAAAAATGTTGTTTTCAGGCTGACGCTGAACGTCGTCTCGGGGATTTCCAGAGAGGGAGCGCGGGCCGTTACGGGCTCCCTATCTGCTCCGGGTCCTGCCCCACAATCGCAGGCTGGCCTCGCCCCGTCCTAACCGGGGAATCAGACCTGCCCGGTCCCTTCCTGGGAGCAGCTGGGGCTAGAAGGTTTAGGTTACTCTTCCCTGGAGACCGGGCGCCACCCATTTTGCACGTGACTTGACCCACCGGGCCTCTGCCCAAAGGCGATGAGGCCCAGTCTTTGTGCCGCAGAGAGGTGAACCATCTCAACACCCCCGAGAGATGGCCCCACTAGGCAGCGAGGGAAACAAGACGAGAAAACTCGGGTTAGAGCCATGGCCTAATTATACTCATTTACCTGCCAGCGGGCACTGGTAGCCTCAGGGGAAAGCCCAAAGTAGAACTGCGAGCAGACTCTGCCTTGACAAGTACTGAGGAAGGATTTTTGTACAACAGAGCCTTTCTTCTCCAAAGAGAGAGCATTTCCTTTTTATCTCGCACTGCCAGTTCAATGTCGAAACTGGGTTACTGTCACTTCCCTAACGAAATGCCCGCAGGAACATGGCAAGGCTATTTCAGTTCTGGACTCTCTCGCCATGAAAGGATCCGGGATCAAGGGGGTTAAGGCCGGCCCCAGACCCAGGGCAGCCATTCCTTACATTGTATCTATCAAAAGCCTTTCCTGCTGCCCGGCCTTTCATGTAGCTGCAGCGGCTCTATCGGTGTGTGCTAAGTAAACACAGCTTTGTTTTCGTCTCCCGCCCCCTCTCTCCCCTCCCGGGCGCAGCCCGGAGCTGGATCCCGGCCAGTCCCCGCGCCTCCTCCGCGCTGGGGCAGGGTTTCTAGGGTGAGGCAATGCGTCTGCAATTCGCGGAGACAAGGCAGGAATTGTAATTGTAGTTCATCATGTGATGACTTATGAAAGAGGAAGTCGGTATGTTTTAGTCACGTAGACTCAGCCCTCCTGCTTCGGGCCCCAGGCCCTCTCTCTCAGAAGAGCATTATGGTAATCTTTGCCATTCGGAGTCAAGGTTACGGGCTTGGCTGCAGTGAGCTCCCACACGTTCTTGTCGACAGGCAGTGCAGTGTGGTGGGGCAGTGGGTTGAGGCTGGCTTCTAACCACAATTCGACTCAAGAACGAAAGGAAATAAATAGTCTATGGAGAACACGCCTGTTGAGTCTAGACGAAGCAACAGCCCTTACCAGCTCTAATTTCTAAGATTTAAGAAAATAATAAAAATCACAGTTTAGGAGCAGAAGGAAGGCCTGGGTTCTGGAGTAGGAGTAGGAGTAGGAGATGGGAAGGTAAACGGGAGGGAGCAGCTCTGAGCTGTAGCTGGGTGGGAGGAACAGACCTGACCTCCCCACACTGAGACGTCCTCCGTGAGCCTTAAACGTCTGCGATCTGAACCGGGTCCCCAGAGCTTACTCCAGTCAAGATGCTCTCGCTAACACACCGCGGCCCTGTACTGACAGCCCGCAGGGCAGTCTACAGAAATGGTTCCCACCAGCGGGCAGCGGGTACTGTCCAGGAGGTGGTGTTCCTAGGGGATGCTGGGTCACGCGTCCAGCCTATATCCACATGTGAAATCACAGGCCTTCATTCTTTAGAGTGGAGTTTCTATTAATAGCCTGATGTTGCAACCACACTAAAGCTTCTTAAACTCTGACCCTGGCATATTTGAAGGAGAAAAAACTGCAGTGACGTGCGCTTGGATGAAGTACCGTAAGATTGGAAGGACACGTGCGATCTACGGGGCTTTTCCACTCTAAAACGTTATAAATATGCATGTGAACACATGAACATAGCTACACATACTGTGGAGAGTCAGGACATAAATGAAACTTGTGATAGGTATAAGAGCGTCTCCTAAGTAATAGCACTTTATGAGACAATTCCACCGTTTTTCAAATTGCAAATATACTTTTTCAGAAATACTTCTCCTCTGTTTGACCTCTCCCCATACCCTGCCCCCGCCTGTGCCCAGAAAGCATGCGGATATTAAAGAGACTCTTGCCTGTGGAGGAGATAAACTCTCTGTGGAGGGTCTAAGCATCAGGCCAAATAAAGTCCCAGGAGCTCTTAATCACCCACATATTATACACAGAAGCCGTTAATCACGGCCTACGTGTAAACATGCGTACAGGTCCCCGTTAGAGGAACGTTTGGGGTCTTGATGTAGGTTAACTTCTTACTGATTCAGAACTTAAAGCGCTAAGTGGAAAATACAGACAAAGGAGAGACCGAGGTCGCGCACTCGCTCGGTCTGCAAGGAAATTTGCAGCAGAACTGGAAGGGATTCAGCAGCCGCTTGCTGCCGGCCCCTCCTCTTGACTTTTTGGAAAGAGCAGGACGAAATATACTTTTCTGGAACAATCTCTGGATGTGAGTTTGACACATTTAAGACACTCAGTAAAATCCCTTAAAAGATACCAGTAGGAAGATGCTGACACAATCGTGAACTAACTTCACAGATCATGTTCGAAAACATTAAAATGCTAAATTTTCTTTCGTTAGCTTGCCTGCTTAAAAACGTAACTTTCCTACATACACACTCAGCAATAAGGGAACAAAAAAAGAGAGGATGTTACAATTCTAAAAGTTGAAAAATCACGTAGCTTCATGTGTATCATCTCTTTCATATGGATGTTCAAAAAACTGTTTGAAGCGTAAATTCTATTTTCTTGTCATCCCTTTTCAGAAACTGAAGACCTAAGGTATTAAAAGATGAAGTGATTTGCCTACAGTGACACTAAAGGTGAGTGTTAAAACCGAAATCCAGGTATGAGTCCTGTTGTCTAACAGTATGGTCTAGAACATTCTATTTGCAATTTGCATTTAAATAGAATATTTCCTTTAGTTCTTAAGCACTGTTTAGAGGTTTAGCAAATGAACGTTAACATTCGTGAGTGTTAACAAAAAGAGTGTTGAGATGCGTATCTATATATTTGTAGAAAAAAAGAAAACTCAGGTATATTTCATAGGACATGCAATTCAAGGAAAAGTAAACAATTACAACAGATAGAGTAGAGGTGAGAGACGCTGGCCACCACCTGTGCCTAGCCTGGGACTCTTTAAATGGCAAACCATTATGCGCTGGTCTTTATGAACCTTAAATAAAAATGGATGTTGGTGTCAGTATAAAAGATTCAATCCTGGGATTTAGTTTGGCAAGGAAGTGGTTTGGGTACTCACCAAACTGGAAAACTGCACCTCCAGCTCTTTATGACCTATTTCCTTTAAAACAAAGAGGAAAATCGCATGAAATCATTTAATTCCTATTGTAGGACTCCAATCCTGGCCGCTTTGCACTCAAACAAATAAATATCATGAGCTACGGGGGCCTCAAAAGGAAAAAGGAGGTCAGATATTTCGTAGAATTTCATGGGGCGATAGGAAGCAAAACAATCATTACCTATTCAAATAAGCCTTCATTGTTAGTGTTAGCATTTTTTATGAAACAGAAATTCGGTGCTAGGAACTGGACTGACTTTCCCTTGACAAGACGAAAATATATTTTTAAACGAACAATCAGCA